GGGATGGATTGGAGATGGGGGGAAACTGGAAGAAAAGGAGACCACTGAGTGTCCAAGCAAGAACTGGTGTGGTAGCTGAGTAGGGAAGACAATGACAGTGATGATGATGACGACAATTACTCAGATTTCTGTAAGTGCTGTAAGATTTTCGAAATGCTTTCCCCACCATAACCCTGTGAGGTACTACCAAAAATGTTATTATTCCCATTTTGCAGATGAGAAAATGGAGACTCAGAAAGATTAAATGCCTTGCCCAAGGTCACACAATTAGTAAGTATCAGAGACAAATCCAAGTCTAAAGCTTTCTGTACAGGACCTGCTAGGACTGACTGGAAACAAGAGATGAGGAAAATGGAAGAGTGAAGGTCAACTTCACGGTTATGAACATGAGCCATCAGGAGGTTGGTGGTACCTTAATGGGAACAGAGATGTTTGTGGGAGGGAGGATGGGGTGCGGTGGGGAGGAAAAGGGGACAAGTACACTGTCGGATCCCTCCACCAGGGGCGCACAGGACGTCTGACACTGTTGTTGCTTTGAGATCGCATCTCCCTATCTTACACAGGCTGGAAGTGCAGGGGCCACTCAGGAGCTGACCCCAGTCCTGGTCATGGTTAATCCACTCTGCCCTTCTAGCCTATGCAAATAGGGAGGCCTGATCTCAAAGCAAACATAGGTATCCTTAGGCAGCCTACTTCCCCCTCCCATTCCCCTTCCTACCCCCAGGGGCTCGTCATACTGGTTCCAGGTTCAGTGTGGATGCCTCTACTAAAGGGGCTTTCCCTCTACTCAACTTTAGCCCTGCTGCAGCCCAGAACTCTTGACCCACCAGCCTCAGTCTCCCCACCACAGGCAGGGCACCACTGCTACCACACCTACATTCCTCAGACTCCCAGTGAGATGTCTTCATTCACCCGAGCCCTCAGCCTCAAACACAGCTCTCTCCAGCTTTGCACGTCCCACAAGGTCTCTGTTCTGTTGAAGGCAGACAATGCCAAGTGGGAGGAAAAGAAGGAGGAGGAGGAGGAGGACGACGCCATAGTCTGTTAGGGCCTTGACAGCCTCCTTTAAATAAACAGGCTTATTCTGCTCAGCCTTGAAGCAACTTGACCTTAAGGAAAGGCTAGAAGGCAAAGAATGGAAGAAGGCAAAAGCTAACTCAGATAATAGACCAGCCTGGGGACCTTGAAATCCAAAGTAAGAACCGAGATGTGTGCATGTGTTTTGTAAGTGGGGGAAAAATACCAACAGCTTTCATTGCGGAAGACTGTGATAAAGGACCACATTCGCGAGGAATGTGTTCATCTGAAATGTTCTGGAAAATAGAGAAGGTAAGTGGGGGGGGGGTGGGAGTCCAAGCTTGGCAAGCAGTTCATTGTAATCACAGAGACTTGGGCTTGGAAAGGATCTCAGAGTCATCAAATCCACACCATACCAGAGCAAGAATTCCACCTAGAGCTCTAGGTAGAATGTCCAGTTACTACTTGAACATTTCCAGTGATAGGGAACTCACTACCTTTAGAGGAAGCCCCTTCCCACACCCAACAGCCTCAACTGCTAGTAGCTTCTTCCTAAGGCTGAGTCAAGAGCTGTCTCCCTGTAACTTGGATCTGAGATACTAGGTAGCGCTGGAAAGGGCTCTGGAGGCCAACCAGGAGGAGGCATTGTGGTCTAATGGAAAGAGCATTGGCATTGGAGTGGTGTTGTTGCTGACCCTACCTATGGGACCTGGAGCAGGTCACATCTGGTCAGTTTCCTCATGCACAAATTGGGAGGGGGTTCTGAGTAAGTGACCTTGGAGGTCTCTTTCAGCCCTAGATCTAACAGCCTAGGAATCTGATGCCAAATCCCAGTTCTCTTACTAGGTTTGTGACTTGTGAGCAAATTGCAACCTCCCTGGGCGTGTTTCCTTCTCCGCCAAAAGAGGGGTTTGGGCTAAGTAGTTTTGAAGGTCTTTTCTAGCTTCAGAACCAGGATCCCATAAACCTTTTCATTTTACAGAAGAGGAATGTTAAGTGACATAGTCACACAAGTAGTAAGTGGCCAAGCAAGGATTTGAACCCTGGTCCTCTCTTGCACTATTCCCACCATTTGTCCTAGTTCTGCTCTCTAGGTCCAAGCAGAGCAAATCAAGTCCTTTCATATGACAGTCCTTGAAATACTTGAAAAGAGCAGTCATGTTCTCCCTTAAGCAGGGGCATACTGGTAAAAAGTGTACCCTGACACTTTTTAAAAAGATATTTTAAATTTTATAATAAATTTTTATTCAAATGTATTAAATCAATTTTTAAATAATTTAAACAAAGTTTTAAAAATGTGCCTCACTAATTTTCAAATCATCCTTGTGCGGGGGCCCTGCTAATCTCAGTGGCATCCTTACACACTTTTCAGTTTAATCTGTGTTGTTAACTTTTTTCTCCATCGCTTTCTTAAGTCTAGATGAGAATGAGATGATACAGAGCTCAGTCAGAATAACTGGCGCTTTGAGATTTGAAGGTTTTTGAAACGCTTGGCAGACATTATCTCATTGGGTGATGAGATGCGGCTAAGTAATCATTTGTGGGGAAAAAAGACAACATACAACATAATAAATAACAAAATAATAAATCAAACCCCGATTCATATCACTTGCCAGATTTCTGATGTGGAAATGCTCACACTGGAAATTTAACAATCAGTACTGATGCCCTCTCTGCTCACTCTGAGTCTTTCTTCTTCAGACTAAACATTCCCAGTTCCTTCAACTCATGCTCACAGAGCATGGTCGCAGTCCCTTTACCATCCTGGTCTCAGCCCTCCTCTGTCCATGCTGCCCTATCAAAGTCCTTCCTAAAATGAGGTACCCTAATCCCTAAGGCCAGCTGTGAGCTGTCCAAGGTGGAGTACTCATCACTTCCCTTGTCCTCAGCGTTATGTCTTAAAACAGTTTAAAATCACGTTAATTTTTGTTTGTTTGTTCAAGGGAGGGGTGGAAGCTGTTACACTATTGCCTCATGTTGAGCTTGCCATCCACCAAACCCCCTCCAAGTCTTTCCCCCCACAAATTGTTATTTAGCCACATCTCATCACCCAGTGAGATAATGTCTACCAAGAGTTTCACAAAACTTCAAATCTCAAAGCACCAGTTATTCCGACGGATGCTCTGCATCATCTCATTCTACTCATCTTTGGAGTTCAGGTAGAAACAGTCCCAGAAGAGTCTGTCATCTTATTCTTTTGTGTTCCGTGTTCTGCAGACTATTCACAGGGGGATGGAATTATTACCTCATTCTCACCGTTTTCAATGGAGTTATTATTATTATCATCTTCCTCATCTTGTGCTTGGCCAGTGGATTTTTCAACTCCAAATGTAGGACCTGCCATTTATCTCTATTAAAATCACCTTATCAGATCAAAACTGTCCTGTCAAGATCTTTTTGGAACCTTTTTGGGATCCTTTCACAGGAAAAGATCTGTGAGTCCATACTGAAGAACATTTAGCATCAAAGAGACTGTCTCATCCTGAGGGCTTGACTGAAACTCAGCTCTTGACTTTATTTGTCTAAGGACTAGTTTTGACTAATCAACCCCCTTCCCCCACCCCCGCCTTTGTTAACTTTCTAGATTTTGCAATCATGCCTCAGCCGTGGCCACACATGGCCATTTCCCTCAACACCTGGGGCTTTCTCATCTTGGAACATTCCTCTGTTATGCTGGCCCCCTTCTGGTGAGGGGTCTCCATTTTGGGGGGTTCCTAGTCTGCTCAACTTTCATTCCCCTCCTGGCTCTGTTCCTGCCTTTCTGGACTTCAACGTCATGAGCCCTCGTGTTCAAGCACCTTCCCTTCCTCCCTCATATTTACTCCTCCCCTTTTTCAGTGCCCTTTTGTCTCATTCTCTCTCCGCCCCTATTAGATTTTAAGTTCCTTGAGAGACAGGGACCATCTCTCTTGTTGTTTGTATTTGTATTGCCAGCACTTAGCACAGTACCTGACACACAGTTTGTTGTTCAGTTGATTCGGTCGTGATCCCACCTGGGGTATTCTTGGCAGATACTGGAGTGGTTTTTCATTTCTTGCTTCATTTGACAGATGAGGAAACTGAGGCAAACAGGGTTAAGTGACTTGCCCAGGGTCATAGAGTAAGTGTCTGAGGCTGGATTTGAACTCAGGGAGATGAGTCTTCCTGACTTCATGCCTGGGGTTCCATTAACTGACCTTCACTGCCATTGGAGAGAAGGCTAAGGTCCAGTAAACTGAGAGATTTGTTCATGCTGACACGATGAATGACTGCCCAAGCTGGGACCAGAATCCAGCAGGCTCATTACTGTGCCCTACTTGGTGGGATAGTGGATAGAGTTCTGGGTTTAATCAGGAAGTCCCAGGTTCAAATCCTGACTCAGCCATGTACTAGGTGAATGAGCCCGGGCAATTCTCTTTCTCTCTGGGCCTCAGTTTGCTCATCTATCCAATGAGGGAGCTGGGCTCAGAGGTCTCTCAAGTTCCCTTCCAGCTCCAAGTCTATGATTCTGTGCCTTCACTAATGGGATGTCAACTCTGGTCAATTCCAACAAGCTGAGTCTGTACTCAGAGGATCTGAGATCAAATCCTGACTCAGTCTGTGTGAGTTTTGCCAATTTATCGAACCTTTCTGGGCTTCAGTTTCCTTGTCTACAAAATGAGAGGCTCCTCAGGTTCCTTTGAACTCAAAATGTGAAATCCTATGGTCTATAAGCAGGGGTGGGCAGGCACTGAAACCAGGGGTCCTTAACCCACGATCTTTTGAAAAATATTTCGATAACTACAATACAATATAGTTTTCTCTACAATCTCATTTTATGAATTTAAAAACATGATTCTAAGAAAGGGTCCATAGGCTTCACCAGACTGGCTGCCCAAGGGGTCCAGGACACAGAAAAGATTAAGAACCCCTGATGTAAGCACAGGGCACCAGGCAGCAGCTGATACATCTGTCTTACAACTGAAGGAAATAAACTTTCTCCTTTTAGAGAGACACCAAGTGGCTTGATGCAAATTCCAGTTTTTTATTGTTTTCTTCCTGAAAGATACCTCATCACAGTGAAACAGCAGGTTTCTGTCCCTAGATCCATTTTTCCAACAAGAGAAGGAAAGCTCAGGACCCCCGAGGCTAGCCTATAGGTGGGGTGGTAGTCCATGAACCCAGTACTCAGAGGAGAATAAGAGGAAACAGACAATGTGCTGGCATTAATTCAAACAAAGAAGGGAAAAAGACCCCCAAACCACCCACCCCCAAAGGCATCTCATTGGGGTGGATTTTTCCAAAAGAGTTTGCCAGTCCCTGTGAATCTGGCATTTTCCATGCCAAGCTGAATCTTCTGAAGAAAATGAACTGATGGCTTCTGGGACCCACGTGTCTTGGCAAGAGAATAAGGCCGAGGCTGGCTATTGAGGAGGAGAAATCTCTGCTATTCATTCCTGAGCGCTGCCAGACACCCAGTGGTTGTCTTTGACTCTGGCTGAAGTGAGACTAATCAGGAAACTCGATGCAGGAAAGGGGAGCTGAGGAATTTTAATCAACCTGACCAAGGGAGGGGAGGGAGTTTCAAAGAGAGCTCTCCCTGGCAGCCCAGAGAGTGGGGGCAGGGAGCAGCTTCTAGCCCCTTACTAAGGGCAAAAGCTGGTGAATCTGCAGGCTCACCTGGACCCTCTCCTCATTCTTCAGACCAAGGTCACTGACTTCATCACTAGCGCTCAGATGTGTTTTCCTTACCCTAAAGAGACAGCTGTTGTCCTTGGCCTGCCTCCAAAAGCAGTGGGTGGACCCCTCCTCTCATTGAGTTGGTTTGAAAGCCTCTTCATTCTGGGCAGAGGGTTTGAGGGCAGGGGGTAGGAGGGGGAGAACCAAATAAAAAATATAAAGAGACAGACTGAATCTTCAGGCAGAGCTCCCATCCCAAGTGGGATGGAGACAGGACAGTGAAGGCAGCAGTCTAGCTATGGTCTAGCCTCACCCCCACCCCAGAAGACCCTGCACCAGCATCTGGACAGGGGCCCTTCAGCCAAAGGATAGACCAGTTCCCATTGGCCAACAAGGAAAGAGGAGAGTAGCTGAGGGCAGCTGGCCACACCTTCCTCTTCAAGCTGTCCATCATCAGAATTAGCTCAGTTTTTCTTGGGAGTGGGCAGTAGCTGTCAGATGTGGGTACAGGACTGCCCCAGTTACCATCATACAGAGAGTGGCCAGGGTCCATGAGGGCTGAGGAAAGGCTGATTCCGTTCCACCTCGCAACAAATCCTCAAGGCAGCTTGGTAAACAAAAAGTTCACAGGTCCCAAAGGGCCTGGAACGTGTGTGTGTGTGTGTGTGTGTGTGTGTGTGTGTGTGTTCCACAGAAATGTCCAGTCTGTGGGTGTCCTTGACAAAAGCCAAGATGGGTTCCTTTGCCTGCATCATCAACGAGCACTCATCCAGGCGTGCCATTTGCCTTTGGGAACAAGAAAAATCACAAAAAAAAGATCAATAGTAAAAAAAGACCAAATATTGACATAAATTTCAATCCCTGCCCCCTAGCAAGTGCTGAACCAGGAGGGCAGAAATTGTCATTACTAAACCTGAATTCGAAATCTGGCTCTGCTGCTTAGTATCTGTGTGATTTGGGGTAAGTCACTTAATTGCTCTGGCCTCAGCTGTCTCACCTGTAAAATGAGAGGGTTGGATAAAGGTACAGTATGGTATAGTGAGCTGAATACCAGACTCGGAGTCAGGAAGACGAGTTCTAATCCTGCTTCAGATTTCAATTACTAGCTAGGAGATCCTGGGCAAAAATCACTTCACATCACTGGGCCTCAGTTTCCTCATGTGTAAAGTGAAGGGGGTTGGACTGGATGGCCTCAGGGGTGCCTTCCAGCCTTAGAAACCTGCTGGTCTACAGGAATGGTCTACACAGGTGCCTTCTGGCTTTAGCTTCTATGGTCTATGACCCTATGACATTGACTGTCCTGGGGGGGGGCTCTGGCTGAATCCCACATGCCAGGATAGGAACAGAATTGCTCTTAAAAGTAATTGTCTCCTGCATTGGGTTCCCGCTGCATAAATGAACCTGTCACAGCTCAGGAAGAGTTCTACTAAACCACACCTACAGAGCTCCTTGGTTTTCTGAAGACAGAAAGACTTTTTTTTTTTCTTTTTAGCCTTCAATGAAAAAAGAGAAAAAATGGGAGTTGAATGGAAGTGTTTCTGAGAAAATGCGCTGTCTGCTGTCTGCTGTCAAACCTTCAAGGCTACTACTGCTTTGCAAGTTTACCAGCAGGGACAAGGGATCCCTTGGGAAACCCCAAGGAAACAGGAGCTCCCCTTGAATTTTCAGATCTTTGGCATCAAAGATAACAGGAGCCTGAGAAGTCATCCAGTTAATAACATTCTCCCAGCCGGTCAAGGTGGCCAATTTTGGGATGCTTTGGTATAAGGGTGCCCGAGCTCTGGGTTAGGCCTTAGGGAAACCTGGGTTCTAGTCCTGTTCAAACCAAATCCCAGACCTACTACTGCTACCTGTGTGACCTGGGGAAAGTCACCTAACCTCTCTGGGCCTCAGTTTCCTTGCAAAAGAGGGAGTTGGCTAGAGATGGCCACCATGATGCCTAGTTCTAAATCTATGCTACTTTGACCTTTGAGCTGCTTGCTGTTCCCCTGAATTCTGCGCCCCATTTCCCATTTCCTTGTCGTTGCACTGACTGTACCCACTGCCTTTCCTGATCCCTCCAGTTGTATGTGTCATATCCCTCCCAAGTAAATATAACCTCACTTTCTCCATCTGTAATCAGAGGGTTGGACTAGATGAATTCTAAGATACCTTCTAGCTCTAAATTTATGATCTTATAATCAATCAGTTAATTACAAACATTAATTAGCCCTTATGTCCCAGGCACTGTGCTAAGCACTGGGAGGAAGGACTGTCTTTTGCCTTTCTTTGTATCCCCAGCACTTAGCACCTGGAATATAGCAGGCACTTAATAAATGCTTGTTGACTTGTAATACAAAGTGAGGGAAGGGAATAAGCATTTATATAGAGCCATGTACCAGGCCCTGTGGTAAGTGCTATATACATATCTCATCTAATCCTTACAATAACTCTTTAAGGCATGTGCTTTTAATATCCTCATTTTACAGTTGAGGAAACTGAGGCAAACAGAGGTTGATTTGCCCAAGGTCACAAAGCCAGTAAAATATCTGAGACTGGTTGGAACTTAATTCTTCCCAATTCCAGGTCCAGTGCTCTACCCATTATGCTACCCAGCTGAGAATGAAATAATCCCTACTCTTAAGAAATTTATGTTCTGGGGGCAACTAGGTGGCACAGTGGATAGAGCACTGGCCCTACAGGCAGGAGGACCTGAGTTCAAATCCGATCTCAGACCAGATACACTTACCCCAATTGCCTTGCCAAAAAAAAAAAAAAAAAAAGAAAGAAAGAAAGAAAGAAAGAAAGAAAGAAAGAAAGAAAGAAAGAAAGAAAGATATTTACGTTCTGGAAAGCTTGCTTGGGGCCCTGTCTCCTATGTTCCTGAGAAGACTCCCTCCATCTGACATGAGGCCAGTCCACTGTCATTCACTCTACTTCAGACCTGTGTTGATCCCCATTCTTTCCTCCTCTCTGGTCTCAAAGGACAAGGGCCCCTGCTCCTAGAGGTAACCAGTTCACTGGGCCTCTGAGTACATCTCCCTCTAGCATTGGCCAGCTGGGTTCTTAGTGGTCAATGACTACTATTCCCTCAGACTTCTAGGGGTAATCCCGAGGAGGGCATTGGGCTGCATACAGTAGGTGCTTGATAAATGCTTTTAACAATCCACATAAAAAGAAAGCATTAAATTTGATGGCTCCTAAGGTCCCCTATCTCTTTCAATGATAGCACTGTAGCTTATGAGCCCCTTGTATTAAATGGAATAGAAATAGCACCTACCTCCCTTCTTGAGAATCAAATGAGATACAATTGTAAAGTGCTTAGTATAGTGCCTAGCATAGAGTAAGTGCCATATGAATGTTAGCTATGATTCTTTTTTTGTGAAGATCAAATGAAATAACATATGTAAAGCATGTGGCAATCCTTAAAGCATTATATAAAGTATACATCAAAAATGATCAAAAATTATGATTATTGATAGCTAATCAATAATAAACATGTTAATTATTATAACCAATATATTGATTATTATTAATTAGCTGCCAATAAGGATTTATTTTAAATATAATTATTGGCTATTAATTATTAACAAGTAGGCACAATAATGTTTAATTAGCTTTAAAAGGACATTTATTAAGTAAGTATAGCAAGGACAGTGGCCACAAAAATAATCCCCCCCTCCCCAAAGCAGGGGATGTACTTTCCCTCACAAGTTACTGTGGAGTGTGAGCTCACACTTAGAATAAGGACAGAGGTATCAGGGGCAAAGGGTAGCTCATAGCTTGTCCCTGGGAGTCCCTTTCTTCTCACCCCAGAATCCTCATGAAGTTCCCTTGACTACCTGGTGGTCCCCAAGGACTTGTAAATCCTTGTAAAGCCCACACCTCCAACTTAATCTCTTTCCTGAAAGGTCATTCTTCCCTTGAAGTTGCCTTTCCTTGGAAGGGTCTAGTTTGGTCTCTGTGTGCCTCTCAGAGCAGACTGGGACATCGGCTCCCAGGTCTGGTGGATGGGACCTCCAAATACTCTGACCTTTTGATATTCACAAGTCTCTCACCCGTTCAATTCTGCCTCTGGATGCTCAGCAGGCATGTTTCTCTCTACTTCCAGATGAATTTACTGTCTCCTACCAGTCCAATCTCCCTCACAGCATGGTCAATGGGATCTCTGGGGCTTAGAAGAGACCTCCCCACTAGGCTAACTTACTATTTTTATATGGACCTAGGAGGATACACTTAACTTTCTTTTTTGACCAATCACAAGATACTTCTTTGCAGTATCATCTGCCTTTATCCAATGGCCACCCCTCCCCATTCTTTCAAATTTGTTAAGGATTTATTCACACCCAGTTAACTTTTGATTGACTGTTTGATTAAAGCAAATGTCTGGGCTTTCTGTGATCAATTGCAGCCCGTGAACTAAATATAAGCAATACTCTTTCTTCACTTGTCATTTCCCCCAACTAGATTATAAGCTTCTTGAGAATAGTGACTTTTTTTTTTAATGTGTCCTCTGCACTAGCACAGTACCTGGCACACAGTCAGTGTGTGACAAATGCTTTTTCCATTCCATGTAAAATGAAAGGTTTAAACTTGATGACTCCTAAGTAAGATGATTCCTACTTTCAACCCATGATCAGATCAATCAAATCAATCAACAAGCATTTATTAAGCAACTACTATGATCCACTGCGCTAGAGACAGGGGTTGTAAATACAAGGAATGAAATCATCCCTACTCTCAAAGAACTTCTAGACAAGCGGCCCACTGGATAGCTCGTTGGGCTTGGAACCAGGAAGATTCATCTTCATGGGTTCGAATCCAGTCTCAGACACTTACTGGTTGTGTGACCCTGGGCAAATCATTTAACCCTGTTTGCCTCAGTTCCTCATCTGTCAAATGAACTGGAGAAGGGAAGGGCAAACTACTCTGGTATCTTTGTTAGGAAAGCCCCCAAATGGGGTCACAAAAAGTCAGACACAACTGAAACAACTCAACAACAACAAAAGTATATAGGGAATAAATACAAGGAATAAATACATGATTTAAGCTTTTAGTAGCTTAAAACAGCACGAAGGCCGTTGGGACACCCTGTATGAGGAGAAAAAATGCAAATAAATACAAGGTGGCTAAACAGAGAGATTTTAGGAGGGAGAGTACTAATACTTGGAGGAGATCAAGAGAGGCTTCAAGTAGATGGTGATGCTTGAGCCATGCCTTGAAGGCAGGGAGGGATTCTGGGAGAGAGAGTGCATTCCAGGCATGGGGACATAGCCCGTGAAAAAGCATGGTGATGGGAGCTGGCATGTTGAGCGACGAGAGCAAAGAGAAGGCCATTTTGGGTGTAGGATGTGGGAAGAAGATAATATATGACAAGGCTGGAAAGTTAGGTTGGGGCCAGGTTGTGAAGGGCTTTAAAAGCGCAATTAGCTGAGTGCCCTGTTCCCTCCCCATTCATGCCAGGCTGGACCAATGTGGATTTCGGGGATGAAGAGAGATGCTCTGCTGGTAAGCAGTGAACTCTGAAGAAGAGTTGGTGGGAAAGGTCAGCTATCAAGAAGGTCCTTTTTAGTCAAAGAGAGAAGGGGAAGTGTGGACCCTGAGTAGGGTCAGAGAGATGCCCCAAAGGGAAGAGAAAAACTTTCCACTTACTTGGAGCCTTGTGACTGTCGCTGTCGGAGCCATCCCCCTGCGGCTCTCCCAGGCCACTCACTGGGCCACTTTGGACTCCCCCAGCCTCTCTGCCAAGGCTGGTCCCACTCTCCAAGGGGTGACTAGGAGGCAGAGCCTGGCCTTGGGCTGCTCTGGAAAGGTCACTGCTGCCACCTGGAAGAGACCAGACAGTAGACGAGGGTATCTGGGGTGCCTGCCCCTTTGGATTTTAACCTGCTCTTCTATCCCCTTCCTGGGAGTTGCCAACAGAGTCTCTTGCTAGTTCAATGAATCAACAAACATTTACTAAGCACTCACTATGTGCCAGGAATTGTGCTAAGTCCCAGGGACATAAAGAAACAGAACAAATAGTCCTTGCCTTCATGGAGCTTACACCCTAGCTGGGGAGTCAACTGGCCCGTGTAGATGTACGTACAACATAAGTTAACTTGAGAAGGTTAAGACATTAGCAACTCCAGGGAGGGAGTGGCGCAGGAAACCTCTTAGGGAGTAGAGCAATCCCTACCAGTCCTAAACCTCAGAGGAGAATTGAGCCTGAGAGCCTGAGGGCCTCTAGGGGCCCTTCTGCCTCTTGAGTTTTGACCCATAAAGGTCCTGATGAAGCTTTTGTATCTGCCCCCAACGGTATCTACCCTGCCTTCCTGAAGGAACATGATGGAGGAAGACAGATCCATCCTCCCCATCTACCACGGCACTGAGCTCCTTTAAGACTCAGATAGATAGGCCCAAGGTGGGTCTACCTAATGAACTCAAAATGAGAAATATGACTGTACCAAGGCAGTACTTACTTACCCCTGGCTCATAGGATCATACATCTAGAGCTGGGAGGGACCCCAGATGCCATCCAGTTCAAATCCTGTTTTTGGAGGGACAGACTCAAGATGGCACAGTGAGATGAAGCATTTTGCCTAGTTCACCCAATACATCTCCTCCACAATAGCTTAGAAAACTCTCCAGACTGAATTGTGATTGGGAAAGCCAAGAAGGAGTCACAGTGAGTCATTTTTCCAGCCCAGGGCAGCTTAGGAAGACAGACAGAAGTGTGTGCAGACTAGGGCAGGGGTGTACAGGAGTATAGCACAGCAGCTGACGGAGGGCAGAGACTGAATACCTAGGCAAGTCACTTCTCCTTTATAAGCCTCAATTTCCTACTCTGTAAAAATGAGAGGGGTTGGACCAGAAGGCCTCTAAGGTCCTTTCCAGTCTGAATCTATGATGCCATGATGCAAGGTCACTTTATGTGTCTGGGTTTCCTTCCCCTGTCAAATGAAGGGGGATGGACCAGAAGGCCTCTAAGGTATATTTTAGCCCCAGAGCTCGGGGCTAATCTAACCCCCTCTTATACGTGCTCTGCCTCCTTGGAGAAGGGTTATAATGAACAAATGTGTACGTTTTTAAAAACTATAAAGTGCCAAGAGAAATGTACCTTTAATGTGGCTATCTCAGCTGAAGCCATGCAGAAGATGGAACCCTTTCAATGAATGCCCTTGGCTGAGTCCCCTGGGAGGGAGGGGGCTACCCCAGGTCCTCTGACTTCAAATACAGTGTTCTTTCAGAGGGGTGAGTTCCCCATCACTGAAAGTCTCCAAGCACAGGCTGAGTGACCACTTGCCTGGGATGCTGTAGAGGGAATCACTGGTCTGGAATGGTTCAGATTGGATTGGATGGCCTCTGGGCTCTCTTCCAGGTCTGATTTCACAAATGAGCCCCTAACACTGAGGTTTGCCTTCATAAATTCCATTAATGATGCGTGAATACCCACTTACGTGCACCCCAGAGAGCTATGTTCAGAGACACCATGGTGGTCTTCCCTGCACAGCCTAGACCTGCCCCTTCCAGCCCCGAGGCTTCTCAAAGCTCAGCCTCTCTGCAGGGCCAGCCACCCACCTTCTTACCTGATTCTGTTCGGGATTTGCTACCTTTCAAGTTCTTGGCCCCGGCGTCTTCCAGGCTGGAAGAGCTCAAGGTGGAGTCACTGTCACTGTCGCTAGAAACCACTGGAAGAGACAAACAGAGACTGAGAATGTTTATCCCCGCACCCAGTGGGTTCACCCCGGGCCAGGGGACCAGCTTCCTTATGGCTGCACATAGAAGAAGGAAGGCATTCCGCATGGGGGAAGGGTAAGTAGCTGTTCTTGACATCCCAGGGGACTGTGCAAGAGACAAAGATCAGCTCCAATTACAGGCAGGAGAGATTGTGATGGGACCGAAGGAAAAACATCCTCAGTGTCAAAGGGATAATAGGCTGGGATGGGGAGGGAGGTAGGGAGCTTGTTAAGGCTTTGTCTCTGGGGACCTTGTGGGAGCAGCCCTGGTTAGGAGCATTTGTGGATGCCAGTCATTGTGACACCCCATCACATCCTGCTTACATGATTCCTTAGCTGTCTGGCCTGTCTCCCCAACTCAATGATACCACTGGATATTTGTAAAAGGCTTACAGGTTACAAAGTGTTTGAATGACTCCGTCTCCTCTGATCTCATGACACCTTAAGAAATAGGCAGAACAGGGCAGGGGCTAATCAATCATTCAATACCCATTTATTAAGCACCTGCTATATGCCAAGCACTGTTGGGATGCAAAGACAAGAATCAATCAGTGAGCATTTATTAAACACCTACTAAGTTCTCGGCACTGCACTGGGTGCCGAGGACACAGATATGACAATGAACAATCTCTGCCCTCCGGGAACTTACATTCTACTGCTACTGTCTACATGAAGAAACTGAGGTCCAGTGAAGAGGTCCAGCCTTTTATCTGGCCTAGGTATTTAACAGAGGGGGAGGAAAAATGAGTCCATACTCTGTCCCACTCCCCCAGAGTCTCACTTTATAACCCTGCATTTAAAATACATATTTTTATTGATAACTCTTGTTATCCCTTTCCCTAGAAAGCCATCTCACATAAGAGACTTTTTTGAAAGAAAAACCCAGCAAAATCAATCAAAGCATAGGAAAAAAAAACTTGATGAGGTATGCAACATTCTTCACCCATAGACCTCCGCTTCTGCCAAGGAGGAGGAGGGGTTGTCTTCTTGTCTCCCTCTTGGGGCCATGTTTGTTATTTGTCATTTTGCATGCCTCATTTTGGATTGTTTTGAGGATAACCCTCTTCCTACCAGAGGCCCAGAGTTGTGTTTAATTAGGAGGCAGCCTCTGAGTGATCTCAGCTTTCATCTTATAAAAGGCACTTCCCACCACCCTTCACTCCAAGCCACACTACACTTGCCCTCTCATTCATTCTACCTGCATTGTCAGAGAGAGAATCACAGACTTCAGGGCCGGAAGGATTTCCAGGCCATCGAGTCTAAACACACCCACAAAGGGACCATCTCTAGCACCCTGCCAGTTTTAATTTTCTGAACCTATGATTCACTCAATTAGATTTCAAAATATACTAAAAAGCGATCATTACAAAACTATTTAGCACATTCATTCAATTCAATTTATTCATGCACTCACTTATTCAAAGAGTTTGTTATTAAAAGCACCTACTATACATCAGGCATTGTGCAAGGCCCTGGTAATACAAAGGCACAAATGAGTCAGTCCCTGCCCTAATGGAGTTTATATTCTATGGAGAGAAAACCAACATGGACACAGTTCGATCTTTTTTTGAGGATGCAGGGGGTATCTGAGGCTGTGGGTCCTCATTATGGGTATCAAAACCTGCTGTAAGGATTGTAGCTATTAGTTTGAGCACCTGGTGCAAATTGCACGAAATGTTCCCAAGGCAACATGAAACACACCCCAAATCAACTTTTTGTTTTTGTTTTTGCTTTTTTTTTTTTTTTTTTTTTTTTTGGTGAGGCAATCGGGCCCAAATCAACTTTTTAAGACAGTCCAGCAAGGGGATGTTGGGATACAATTCCCTGTTGTGTGGAGACAGAGATCCTGCAGAAACCACAGGACAAAGGGGGATTGCCATGAAGAGGAGAAGGAATAAGGTGGGGGTGGGGGTTGGGAGGAGTTCAATTAGGGGAGAAGTTGCTGCAGAGAGGAGAGGAAGGATGCCATCCGGTAGCTTCCTATTTTAACTAATTGTTATTGCTAACTCAGTCCTAGGATCAGCTGTTTTGATGTACTGAAGGAATCCAAGTATAGTTGCACCCTCTACATTTCTATGCCCTGGGGACAAGCTCTGATTGCCCCACTCTAATTATGGCTCTTTGTAAAAGTAATACTGCAGTAGTCCAAGGATCTGTGATTTCATCAGTATAGGTACTCCTTTTACCAGAGCAGGTCTCAACCCCTCTGTGGCTCAGTAGATGATCTTCAAGAGTACCATGTTAAAAAAGAAAAAAAAATCCTCACCCCATGGGTAACCTGGAGACGAGTTTCTCTAAAAGTAGTTGCGCTGGTCCCCAAACAACAGACACTGGTTCATTACTGAAAGCTTCGAACCTGCTGGTGTCTCTGACAGCCTGTGTTTACTTGTCCACTATGAGGAGGCTTTGGAGGGAGACTTTCATATTTTCATAATAATTCTTATTTCTTTTACTTAACCAAATCGGTGAATCACCCATTCCTTTAAAGCAAAAAGGAGCCTTAGGGATTATTTAGTTTGACCACCTCATTTCATGAGGATTTTCCATTTTCCCATCTAGGATCTCATCTGATCCTCACAACTGCGCTGGGACTTAGGCGCGCACAATATTTCACAGAAAAAAATGCTGAGAGGAAGCAGAAGGTGGGAGATTGAAAGCTGGTCTTCAAGAAAGGAAGATCTAGGCTCATTTCCTGCCTCAAACGTATAATGGCTTCAACCTCCCTTTCCAGATTTATTTCACATTGCTCCCCCCAAAACGAGGCAGTGTTGCACAGTGGGTAGAGCTTGTCTCAGACACAGGAAAATCTGGATTCAAGTTCCACCTGGGACACCTGCTGTCTGGGTGACTCTGGGCAAGTCCCTTACCCTCTCAGTCTCTTAAATAACTCTCTGAGAGAGAGGTTGTAGAGAAGGTGCCAACCTGCTTTGGTGGAGGGAACTCCCTTCACTTGGGAGCTCTCTACACCAAAAAAAAAAAAAAGTCAGGTCCAATCCAAAATAATAATTATAATGACATATAGGTATATATGTACATATGTGTATGTTTATATACAAATATACATATATGTATGTGTTTATACATGTATGTATACATGCATTCACACACACACACACACACACACACACACACACACACACATATATATATATATATATATATATATATATATATATATATATATATATATACACAAATCCAAGTCAGTTAATGTGGAAGAGAACTGGTCTTGGAGCCATGAAGACCTGGGTTCAAGTGTTACCTTTGACACATATTGGCTGTGTGACCCTGGGCAAGTCACTTAACCTCTTAGTGGCCCCAGGTGACTCTTTAAGACTAGAAGTCACAGAGGAAGCGTTGATCTTCCTTGGTAGAGGGAACTTCCCCATCCGGGACTTCCCCCCTCATCAGTGAAATCACATATCCAGTCCTCATTCCACCTTTAAAGAGTGTTTTAAACTTTGCAAATAGCTTTAGAGACATCTGCTCATTTGAACCTCCCTGTGAGGTTGGTGCTGTTCTTATCCGCATTTTATAGATGAGGGAACGGAGACATGAGCACAGAGAGGGGGCAATGTCCTGCCCAAGAATTTGGTGGCCAGTTCGAGAACTCGTGTCTCCTGACTGCCGGGTTAGAGCATGGTGAAGGGCAGTGGTGGCTCCTGCTGTGACTATAATGACAGTCGCTGCTGCCTGGGTTTTTGACAGGGAGGCTTGAGAGGCAGCTACCAAGATGGCCCCAGCCAAGTAGTGGAAGGGTTGGGCAGCTCACTCTCTGATAAACCACATCACCGTGCAGCATTGCCTAACAGCCATCTCCCTTCGGGGAAACTCTACAGAAACCCCCCCATGAAAAAGAAGCTCACGTGGGGAGAAGAAGAGCGCGTATCCAGTTATCTCTGCTCTAGGGGCTGAGGTAAGCAGGCTCTCCCTATCTGTCACCTCTTAATGACAACCAAGCAGGTGGGGACACTTAGATGAAAGGCTCATGGAGGCCAAGGCAGGCCACTTTCTAGCTGGGCAGCCTTAGGCTTCATTTGGTTTCAGAACTAGAAGGGAAGGATGAGCTCTTGGTGGGGGCAGGGACCGTCCTCTGCCTTTCCTTGTATCCCCAGCACTTGGCACAGTTACAAATATGATCTCATTTGATCCCCACAACCCTGAGAGATAGGTGCTATGACTATCCCCATTTTATAGGAGAGGGAAGTGAGGTAAACAAAAGTTAAGTGACTTGTCCATGGTCCCACAGTTAGTAAGTGTCTGAGGCTAGATTTGAAGTCAGGTCTTCCTGGATTCAAGCTCAAGACTTTATCTTTCACCATCTAGCGGCTTCATTGCTCTCAAATAACTCCCTAATTCTAATGTTTCAGAGAAATCGCATATCTGCATTTCCCAAGATACTGATGAAATCACAAGCCTGAACAAAAATGAAAATATATGATGTAAAGGGTATGGTTAAGGAGGCTAGGAACACTGAACCACAGATGTGTTTACATCGAAAGTACTGATCACTTTTGGTTTGAAGTGAAGTTCATAATGAGAAAAGATTACTTTTTTTGTTTTGGTTTTTTGGTTTTGTTTTGTTTTTGTTTTTTACAAAAGGCAGAGAGCAGGGTTGAAGGGGACCAGTCTGGCTTCCACTGAAGCCCTTGGACCACACAGGTGCCTTTGCCTCCTGGGGTCATTTCACTCACAAAGGTCTCAGAGAGGAGGCTACCAGCTGTCAGAAAATGTTCTCGCTTTCCCATCAGCCCCCCTCTGCCACATCTCTCATTGTGTCAGGGATTTCAAGCTGGGATCAGGCTGGAGCTTAGAGGGCTTTGCAGCAAGGGCCCCCAAATCCCATTTCTAATCTACTCTAATAAATTCTGCTAAAGAAACAAACTGAAAAAAAGAAAAGGAAAGGAAAGGAAAGTTCGCAGTATCTATGCCCAGCGCTAAAGCATCAGTGT